TTATGGTGCTCCCTGACGTCCATACACATACTGTTTGTTCTCAAAGTGTTTTCCTAAGTGTTAGAGGTCATATAGCAAATGTCTCAGATCGATTGAGCCTGGGGAGGACTTTGCTGTATAGACGTTAAGATATGTGAGAGGTCGAAAAGCTTTCAGATAGACTAGTTGACACTAAAGTTCCCGTCTGTTTAGTTGGCCAACTGACTTCAACCCTCCTTTATTTTACATTTATTTGGCATTCATCAGGCGGAAAAAAATTTTTATTTCCATTTGTCTGTCTGGTTTCTTGCTTAGAACAGACGTAACCTTCAGACCACTGTTAGTGTAACCTTTGGCAGAAAGATGTTACGACTTCTTCAGTTATCCCTACTAACTTTGCTTAGCTGTCGCGTTTACTCACAGGAAATCCGAAGCCTTCCCGGAACGGAAGCTATTAAGATCAACTTTAAACATTATTCTGGATTCTTCAAGGTTTCTGAAACTCACTTTCTTCACTACTGGTAATTTTTTGTATATCCTCATCAATTTTTTGGAAAGTTAACCAAATTCTTCCTCATATTGATAATGCATTAAACAGTTGGGGTTCTCATTTGCGTTAAAGTACTCTCAAAAAATAAGGTAGGCAGATGATCTAAAGTAAGTTGTAGGCTGCAAATTGTCAAATGTCAAATATTGTCTTCAAAGATACCGTGCTCAATTTGTGAGGGAAAATTTGAATATATGTAGGAATACTTGGTGCAGTTTAAAGCATTTTTAATGTTTGCTACCAGCCGCTAGCATTAAAAAATGACGCTTTTCTGAAGGCGATATAAATCCTGAAATATAGATAGCAATGTTAATTACAAACTTTCCAAGGTTTTTGTCGCTATTTTTAGGTTTGTTGAATCTCAAAGAGATCCAGCTCAAGATCCATTAATATTCTGGTTTAATGGAGGTCCTGGATGTTCATCCCTTGACGGCCTTCTCAATGAGATGGGGCCGTATGTTGCAAACATAGATGGCAAGACTTTGAGAAAAAATGAAAATGCGTGGAATAAAGTAACTTTGATTTTTTTTTCAAAAATTGATTGTGAAAGCGAGTTCAGAAAGATCTGAACTACATTAACTGTTGTTATTATTTTCCTTACTGAATATTTAAACTTCATCTGATATTAATTTTTACATTTGCAGTTTGCGTCTGTTGTTTACATCGAGTCACCTGCTGGAGTTGGCTATTCATATGCTACTGATGAGGATACTGATACTGACGATGACAAAGTAACAAGTTTGTTATTTAACTGTTTTAAATACTCTGATATTAGAAAGTGGTGATATTAAACGTATACCAAATAAATATAGTGAGATTGGTTCTACAGTTATATACAACGTTTATTACAGACTTCGTTTGAAAATTACCAGGCTGTCAAAGAATTCTTTAAAGCCTTTCCTCAATTCCGTGATCACAACACCTTTATTATGGGTGAAAGCTATGGTGGCGTTTATGTACCAACCTTAACTGCTAGAATTGTCGATGGAATGAAAGATTTTCCAATTAGACTGCGAGTAATTTTTGAATGTTTGTTTTTAAAAACAATAACACTAGTAACCAGTGATGCCAAAACATTACTGGTTTACTATTGATTAAAAAGTTCTGATTGGTGCTGAAGAATTCAGGGTATGGCGTTAGGAAACGGTTATGTCAATGAAAAGCTTAATGTGGACACATCTGTTAGATACGCATACGGGCATGGTATAATTGATGAGAAATCATGGAATACCCTAGAAGAAGAATGCTGCTCTGGCTGTATAGATTCCTGTGATCTAACTCGTGCCACTGGTCACTGTGCTAGAATGGTTGTTATTGTGATCTACTCGCCTTTCTTCCTTAGTTATTGACAATATTCACCAAAAACAAATATGTTTTTCCTATGTTACCAGTCTAGGTAGAGGATATTTTTCAATTTCTCTGGTTCGGTGGACTGAATCCATATGATCTTTATCGAAGTTGCGATCCCAATCCAGATCTAAACGGTGAGAAAATGCGAAGTGTCAGAAGCGGTCTTCTGCCGAGGTTTTTATCCGTGGCAACAGGCAAAAAGGAATTTGGACCTTATTCAAAGGTAACAGATTATAGTTTTTTATTTTCTTTACTTTAGTCAATTCTAACATTATTTGAAGGCTGTCCCAATTTTATACGGTGACGCACCATGCTTGAATGATTCAGATGTAATTGCTTATATGAATACTCCAAGTGTTCGTGAAGCGCTGCACATTCCGAAAAACCTCTCCAAATGGGACATTTGCAGTAATCAGGTCGTAAAATTCAAAACTATTATCAAGCATAAAGTTGAAGTGCTTTTTATATCTCTTTATTACAAGTAACCTCTAAATAAAGCGAGCTCTTTGCTTCCCGTTATGAAGTTTTTTTTATTTTTTACTTCTCCAAATTGAGCGTATTTGGGAGTATGTAGTGTACTGTAGTTTTAAAATTAGTTTGAAGTCTGTTAGAATCGTTCTCTGGTGTCAATTCCAGACTAACAAGCTCTAAAAAATTTCCCGAAAAAATTTGATTGGGAGATATTAGTTTAAAATGGACTAAATAGCTATCTTAAACGCATAAACTGTCAGTTTAGATCACAACATCTTACAAGAAACAGTACACCGATATGTCACCATTCATCAAAAAAATCGTTCGCGCCAATGTCCGCGTGCTTCTATACTATGGAGATACCGATATGGCTTGCAACTTCATGATGGGGCAACAATTTGCGGCTGGTCTGGGTTTCAAGGTTATAGTTTTACCATTATTTCCTTTCATTATCAAAAAAATCAGTTCTAAGAAACAACCAATGACTTTTTGATCTCACAGTTTCTTTGACCAGTTGATTTTATTAAAGTGATCAAGCTATGAGGAACTTCGGCATCAATGCCTCTACCGAACAGCAGTCTCAGTTTTTCAGAGGCAACTGAAGAAAACTGCTTGGAAGTTTGACAAACAAATTGCTGGTTTCAAAACTTTATATGAAGGTTTAACGTTCATCACTGTACGTGGCGCCGGACATATGGCTCCACAGTGGAGGGCACCGGAAATGCAATATGCAATTCAGCAATTCTTGCTCAACCATCCTATCTGATATTCTTAATTGTGTTTGTTCTGTTCCTGAACAGCCTAAACAGCTCGCGAGCACGCATACGCTTAGTGGTGATATGTTGTCATTGTTGTTACTCAGGATTTATTTGTCATGTTATTTATTGCTTATGAGCCGTTTCCAAACGAGCGGCATATAGTGTGGACAGAGTTTTTGCTGTAATTTTTCGATGACACATCTTTCCTTCGTAAAAGCTTTGTTTTCATCACGTCATAACATTAGGTCTCATTTCAACAACAACGATTGTGTACAATATACAGTAGATGACCAGAAAAGAATAAAAAAAGAAAGAGAACGTTAAAAATTGCGAACAGCTAGATACGTTTCCAACAAAACAACGATTTACAATAACAATTTTGGCAGTTTTATGTATCGGTCTGACAGCGAGTAAATGTCACTTACAGCTCAGTCTTCTTTGCCTTCTTCGATTGTTTCTTTGTTGTTTTACCTGTGTCTGCTGCATCATCCTTCTTTTTAGCTGTTTTTTTGGACTTCTCGTCTGTTGCCTTTTTAGCTCCCTTCTTTTCTGTTTTTGCCTTTTCGTCTGATTTCTGCTCCTCTTTTGTTTTTTTCTCTGCAGGCTTCTTCTTCTTTCCTTCAGCTTTTTGTGACTCAGCCTCTTTAGTTTTCTTTTCTTCCTCATCCTTTGCCTTCCGTTCTTCAGCTTCCTTGATGGTCTTCTCAGCATCTTCCTTAGCTGCAGCCTCTTCTTTTTCAATATTAGCTTTTATTTCTGCAGCTTTCTGTTTTCTTGCTGCCTTAAGTTTATCACCTCTCTTCATTTCGGGCACCTGAACAGGTAAGCTACAGTATTAAATCTTCAAAAAGAAGAAAGAATTATGCTAATGATTACTTTTTAGACATTACAAAATATCGAAAAATAAAAAGAAAAATCAACTTTGTGAGTACAGCAGGAGAGATAAATTTCATTCGTTTGTTTCATTCTTCTACTCCTTAAATTTCCCTGGCAGTCTAACTGCACCGAACTTTTGAGAAAGCACTAGTAACAATTTCCACTCTTGTCGCTCAGATATTTCTTTGGGCAAAAAAGGAAAATTAGACGGGTTACATATGAATATGAAAACGTTTATGTTAACCCTTGGTTGGAAAAGAGTTGAAGGTAACAAGTATTGCTGACCTCAATATCATAGAACTTCAAAACGTCTTTCATCGAATTGAGGACATCGGCTGGAGATGAGTAATAATATGCGTAGTTTTTGTATTCAGCTTTCTTATTTTTAAACTCAGGAAGAAGATCACCATTTTTATCTGCAAAAATGTTTTAAGTAGTGCTCAAGACTCCTAATTTCCATGTTTATTGGTTTTTTCAATTGGAATTAGATCGTTGATCAAACGGCTTTTGAGTGTAAGTGTAATTAGACTATTGGTTTCACGGGTGGCACTGACTGCGGCAGACTTTTTAGACCAAACTTTTTTCGAATTTTGATGCTGGACAAATTGTATCGTTTGAAATGACGGATTACCGACATAAAAATGCAGTAGTTGTGTAAAGCCTGGGCTTATCAGATTTTTCATGCATTGTTTGATAAGATAAGTGTTGACAACTGTACGAAATGAGGACTGGCGTTTTAAGACTTAAAAAATGGTGGTAAAAACTGCTATTTAAATAAAGGATTTACTGAAAAATTTGAAAGTCTTGCCAGCCAAAACTAATGTTAACAGAATCAAAGTGTTACATCAAACTACTCGGTAGCCAGAAGGTTTTTGGTTCTTATTGTAAACTCTTACTAAAAAGAAAGAAAAAGGATGAAGAAAAACCTTAGCGTTTGATTAACTAACCGAGGAATAAAAGTCGAGGAATGTATTTGCCGTCTGGTCGGTACTCTTCTTCGTATGGCTCTTCATCGTCTTCCGTGTTGACCATAACGAAATATTCAGAAAGTTTTTTGAATGCTTTTCTTGCATTTGACTGTTGAAACGTTTTTTTCAATGCTGCAACAATTATATGATTCACAATTCACTTTGGTCAAAAGCTAACTGCAATACTTTCAAAGGTTTGTCAGATGTATTAAAGTATTAGATATATACAGTTTAACAAAATAGTGAAATGTATATACTTAATATTTTTACCTCAATTTTTGGTCGTTATTTTATTGCAGAAGTAATTAAACTGAGTTCTTTTTTCTGTCAATACAGTTGTCAAAAGATGAAACTTCTTTTTTTTATTTTACCCTCATAACTGTGTGACATCAATCAAATTAAGGTCACATTGTTGGCACAGTTTTTTTTCCTTCTTCTTATATGCAACAATAATCTTATCGTTTGCTACCAATACAATTTACACCTCCAAATTCATAAGCAATCATTTTTTCGTTTGTTTGTTTTGTTTTATGTTTTTTTCAGGTATAAATGTATACCAACTACATTCAATTACTTCACATGTTTTACAGGTTATTTATAGAATTAAGGAGGAATGAATAAATAAACAAACGAATGACAAACAAAAACAGAAAGAAGATCAGTACAATTGGCATCTGAAACAATTATTTCAGTAGTTCAGTAACTGTGACCTTTAGCGAAAATCTTTTGTTTCTTCATCCGTCCTTGTAAGGAAATAAAAAAAAACAAAATTTCGTTTCTTTTTCTTTTTTGCCTTCTATTTTTTTGGCTCAATTGGACCGGCAAATACTCTGTACATCGTTTTGCTGGTACAGTTATGGAAGAAATATTGGTTGAAAAATTTTTCATTTTTTGCATAGCAAAAGAGAATTTTTTTTTTAACGTTCAACAAACTTGAACAGTTGCAACGGTTTTCTTCAACTGTTTCGCATATTTCCTTTTTTGTTCTTTCTTAACAGAATTTTGAAAAAAATTAGAAGAAAAAATAGAAGCATTTACAATGATAATACAGAGTTTGAAATACTCCAACTTTTTCAATTTCTAGCCACTGTTTACTAGTTGGTGTTGATAAAGAGGCAAAACCACTTCTAAAACCTGTTTTTTTAAGTTGACAACTTAAAAACGGCAAAAGAAAAGAAAAAAACAAAGTGCACGAAGATTATTCTCTTTATTCATTCTATCTTTTTTTTTCAATTTGAAATTGGTACTTCAAAAAGTTTTTTTTGCAAGAGCAGCCAATATCATTGATAGATGCAGAGCAAAAGAAGAATAATTTATGAATTGGTTAACCGTTTTAAATAAAAAAAAAGAATATCCAACCAAAAATTGAATTTCTCAAAACCTATCACTTACCTTTACATGCATGACACCATGACTTATGGATCAGAAGAAAGATCGGTTTGTTCAATTCCATCGCCGTTTCCACTGCATCTTCCCATTTTACCCAGGCAATATCGTCGCCAAATCCTAAAAAAAATATATTTATCAAAAATTTCTTTTATTCCTCTGCCGCATTCAGAAATTAAATTAATTTTACAGATAAGACACAAGAAACTGTTCTATCCAAACTCTGATTATATAGCTGGCTAAAAGTTGGCTTGTTTGGAAAAAAACAATTAGTATCAGAAACCAACTAATACATTATTATTTTCAACACCATCAACGACAACAATCAGCACTGCTTTAAAGCTGTAGCTATAAATGCCAAAAAAAAAAAAAGAAAGAACATAGCTATTTTCAAGCATTACCCTTTAACTTCATTTAACCAACATTTAGTCACTAATTCAAAACTGTTTTTAAGTACGTTCTGTGCGGCAGTTATTCGAGAATAAATAAATAAATCCAGAAGCTAAAAAAAAAAAAAGTAAACAAAAAAAAATTCCCATTAGTCAAGCTGACAACTTTATTTTTCAGCTATTTGTTGCTAAAAAGGTTTTTTTTTTTGTCGGCTGAAAAATGCAGAGTAAAAGATGAGTAATGAATACACAGAGCAAATAGGTATAAGTAAGAAAGGAAAAAGTGAGGAAGAAGGAGAAGAGGAAGAAGAAGAAGAAGAAGAAGAAGAAGAAGAAGAAAGAGAAGAAGATATATAAAATGATATGCTAAAAAGTTTTAGCATTTACCATGTGAAAGTGGATGCTCATAGATCTGTTTGATGTCGATTTTAGTGTCGACTACAGGAGCAACATGGAGCAGGAAGAGCAGAGCCGCGACGACGTTGACGACGATCATAATGAGTACTGCAATGAGTGTACAACTGCATCCTCGACCCACATAATTTGGTTGCCATTGCCGTCGCCGTTGTAGTTGTTGCCGTTGCTGCTGTATTACTCGTTTGAAGACGATTGGAGCAAAACCACTGCCATACGCAGTTGTTGTTACCTTTTCATCATCGTTCCTTTTTTTTTTTGTTAGTCTAAGAAGATAGCAAGACAAAAAA